CACAGAATCGAGAAGCTTTCCAGCGGTGTTTGCTGCAGAAGCTCTGTAACCTGGAATTTTTGTACCTTTTTTCATGCAAGAAAATGGCAGAAATAATAGCTGACGAAGACGAAGATGGTATGGATGTTACAGCTCTATAACATTCCCGAGGTTAAGGCATTTGTCCTTGAATTGCCTAACACAACTGAAATTGATCTGCAAAACAACAATGACTTGCAATTCCATGGAGTCTATTGATTTATGGGGCTGTAGAAAACTAAAGAAGTTGCCTTTCTTTCAATCGACTATTGATGGACAACCGTATTCTCCAACGGCTCTTAAAGTGATTGAGATATGCAAAGAAGACAAAGAATGGTGGGATTCAATGGAGTGGGAACAGCCTAATGCCCTTAATATCATTCAACCTTTTGTTAAATTCGGTCCCGGTAGATTTTCAGTTGCAGGAATTAGTCGATAAAGGCTTCATCAGTATCCTTTCCCTCGAGTCTCTTGTGATGTCATTTGGGTGGATAAATTTTCAAGTCATAAATAGATTTAGCTCGTATGTATCATAATTCTTGTATTTAAAAATCAAAAGATACTTTCCTTTCAAGATAAGCACAAGAACTTTCTAAAATAATTTGTACTTTAAACATAATTGGGTTGTTCTGTCATCTTGTTGAACATGCACCTTTAATAACTTTTGCAAATACCATCCAATAATCAACTGATAGTGTACATTAGTGAAGTATTTCCGCATGCATAGTATATACAAGATTTAATCTCTCACTCTTCTTTTAAGCGTACATAGTACTATACAAGATTGAACAATATGGAAACTCGAATCACATTTGAGTTGAGATCAAAGTGCAGGTTTAGTGTTGGCCTTCTTCAATCAGCCAATTAGGTACATATCCATGTGAGAACCTGACAAGAAAATGAGACTGTTATTTTGTCACCATGATTTCTCGTTCACAGTTAAGATTAATGAACTAAATTGTGTTACCTGAGAAAGGTACATATCACCAATATTCCCTGAGAAAGAGGGTAGAAGGACATCGCGGGCGTTGGGATGATCCCACTCCAATGATTCCCACCATTGTCTCTCTTCTCTTCCTATCTTTATATCTTTGAGAAATGCGGGAGCAGATGGTTGTCCATCGAGGAGGATCAGCAGGTGCAAAGGGACCTTCTTTAGTTCTCGATTCTGCAGGTGCAAACTAACTGTAAACTCGATTCTCACGACAAGGGAGGGGATATATCTAACGACTGAAACTTTTTGATGAAGCTGTTGATCACAAACTCTCTTTAATATTCAAAAATTAAGTTCTAAATTAAGGCTCAATTTGCGATTGATTTTAGAGTTTCAACTTCTTATTATCGAACAATCATAGTTACTTTAGATGTTCGGTAAATTTAAAAAAACTAATAATGGAATAATCTTCTTTATACAATAATTATTTATAAAGGTTAGTACTGTATATGTAAATAGAACTTAACAAGAATTTATAAACAATGAGTTGATCGAGTTGACCAACTTCCTTGAATGGCTCCAAATCTTCTTTAATTGAATTGAGAAGTCCTCAATAAACTAATTCGTAGACGAAACTCTAATAGATGCAGGAGTAGATTAACATATATTTACCTTCAATCGATAAAACCTTTGAGCAATTCTTTTATAAGCTTAATCTGCTTACAATCTCAATGAAGTAAAAGAAGAGTATAATTAATTAACGGCGGAAAGCTGTGAGTTGAGGGAGAAGCGTATATGCTAATTTAGAGTTTGTTTTAAAAACGTCCATTGGACGCTTTATTTGCCAACCATGTTTTTAAAAATCAATGAATATTAAAGCGTGACAAAATATAAAGTTTTATAGATTGATAGAGGTATCAAAAAGTAAATAGTTAAGATTTATTTATTTATTTTTATTTGGCTGAAGAAATTTTGATCAAATTATATCTTACCGCATCATGCGTTTGTAAATCAGTCTACAAGTGATGATATCACAATGTAAATGTAACACAACCGAATAATTTATAACTAAATTCATGAACTTTTTACACATGCCAAACTAAGTCTCACAAAGCATAAGTTGATATAGTTTGTAACTAATTATTAAAAATGAATGCATTAGTGTACCTAGGATTTGTTATACAGACACCCTTAGAAAATGAAATAAAGCAGTTCCCAATCACATTTGGACGGCGATAAAATGTCTAAAATGTTCACCAAACTACAACTTCAGCATTGGCTTTCTTCCTCGCTTGACTCTGGAGCATCCAAATCAGTTACTCTATGGAAAGAACAAGTTAAAATTTTGGAACATCAACAAAAAAAAAAATGACAAGGAAGGTGCACGAGTCAATAATTAACATAAATCAAGATGTCAAGATGCAAGGAAGAATCAATCCTAGACATTGATAATCAATTATCAAGTAAAATGATGGAGCTTGAGCACCAAACTGAATATATATATATAATTTTATTTTACGCACTAATATTAATATTAAAATTTGCATCGATAGTATTTTATTTAACTTTTAGGGTTATTATCCAAAAAGTTTTTTTTTTCTTCAATTTTATATCTAAATGCTATTATGTTATTTACTAATTAAATCTAAATTAAAGTCAAAAATTAATTTTAACCACATATTTTATAGGATGCACGCCTTTTCAATTACACGTTCTGTTAACTTTTATCAAAATCTATTAAAATTTTTATTTTTTATCTAAACCAAACAGATGCTCAATACAGACAATAAACTGATAAAAAAAACATTAATTCTAAATTAATTTGATTATTTAATTATTCGTTTTTAGTGTCATCAAATAATTCTACCATGAGTTGAGAGTCTCGCTTGATGGATTTGTATGTTTCCTTTTGTTCTTGGATAAATCTAGGATCTATTTGAGACCAATTTTTTAAGAAATGAGTTGTTGAAAAATTATTTTTAGAATTAATTATTAAGAGAGACCAAAAGAAATAAGTTGTTGAAAATAGTGTAGAATCGTACCCTCTCAGATAGCAAACGGATTCTCAAAAGAAACCAAGGGTTGAAGGACATTTTTGGCATTGTGATCGGCCCACTCCAATGATTCCCACAATTCTTTCTTTATGCTGATTGATTTAAGACATGGGGGAGGAGACAGTTGTCCATGGAGAAGCGGTAAATTTAAAGGCAATTCCTTTAAATTTTTAGTGCTCCACAAATTAATGCGGTCAATGGAATCACAAATCATCTTTCCCTTGCAGATACTTTTTAGTCGTAGCAAAAATAATAGTTCCAATTTCTTTAACATTGGCAATGTGATATCAGCTCCTTCATTGTTGTCATCTTCTATTATCTCCTCCATTTGATAACACCAACTGACACTTAATGATTGGAGGTTATGAAAATTATGTACCAAACTCTGAGGGAAAAGTTTCTTGATTTTATGACAATGTGAAATATCCAACCTTTCGAGCGAGGAAAATGCGCCAGGTGGAAGAGGTGCAACTGCTTTCCACTTGAAGAGACCAACTAAATTTGGCAACTCATACAGTTCCAACGTTACAAGGCTTTGGAATGGGACCCCAGTACTAGACCGTTGTTCGTCCTCTAACATTGGCAATGTGATATCAGCTCCTTCATTGTTGTCATCTTCTATTATCTCCTCCATTTGATAACAATAAAAAACAGCTAATGATTGGAGGTTATGGAAATTACGTACCAAACTCCGAGGGAAAAGCTTCTTGATTTTATCACAACGTTTAATACTCAAACTTTTGAGCGAGGAAAATGTGCCAGGTGGAAGAGTTGCAACTGCTTCCCACTTGAAGAGACCAATTAAATTTGGCAAGTCACACAGTTGCAACCTTTCAAGGCTTTGGAATGGGACCCCAGTACTAGACCTCATAATGCACTCTATTTTATCCTCATCTTTTATGCGGCATTCTTTTAAATCTCTAGCATAATTTAAACTTGGAAATTCATCTAATAAGCAACCACTCAAGCCACTCCTTGAAAAGAATAAATTCTCAATGTCTCGTGGCAGCATATTCTCATCTGTATCTAAAGAGGATTCCATGAAACTGTTTTCTTCAAAAAATAAACATTTACTTAGATAACTGAAATGCATTAGTTCTGTGCTTCCTCGAGAACCTAATATAATTTTGTAGAAATGGAGTTGTTTGTCAATTTGTCGTGAGTTGATTAACCGATTGAGATCACGTACGCTATTTAACCTGACTTGAATTACTTCCAACTGTTTCAATGCCTCAACATCTTCTATTGGTGCATCTAAATGATTTGGCAACTCGAGCTGCTGAAGTTGTTTAAGTCTATACAAATTCCCCTTCGGTATCTTCTTTAAGTGATGACAAATCAAACTCATGCGTTTGAGGTTGGTTAAGCTTTCCATACCTTGGGGTACTTCTTCAATAATAGCACCTGAGAGCTCCAAACGTCTCAATACCTTGAGTTTTTCTAATGATGGCACTGATACCAGTTTCGAACAATCTCTGAGCAATAATGCATTAAGTTTCTCCAAGTCTGATATGGAATTTGGCAAGCTCTCAATTTCAGTGAAACTTAAATTGAGAGTGCGTAACCCACACATATGCTTAAAGAAACATTCTGGAATCAGCCGCAGAGGATTTCCTCTCAAGATCAAGGTGGAAAGACTTGGACACTTGGGTGACGTGCCAGGTGAAATTTCCCTTATATAGTTATCCATCAATGAAACCTTATCCAATTCTTCTGTCCACTCTTGAGCCTCCGGTAATTCCTCTAGGTGAAGTCCAGCTTTTACCATGTACCTCGGGTTATCTTGATCCTCTAAGTGAAGTCCAGCTTTTACCATGTCCCTCGGGTTATCTTTAGTGATCCGTATTGCCATGTCTCTGATTAAATCATGCATCTTTACATATGTATCTGAATCACTTTCCAATAAGCATGCTCTCACCAATTGATTTAGTATTGCATGACCCTGGGCGACTTCAGCTTGCCAGCTTAATCTTCGCTCCATCAGCTCTTCTGAAATGAAATTTCGAATCAATTCCTCTCTACGAAAATGATAATCTTCAGGATACAAGGAGCAGTACAAAAAACAACGTTTTAGCCTTGGATCTCTCAACCGATGATAACTATACAAGAGAACTGGCAAAACCTCATATTCCATGTCGGCTTGTCCCAAACATGATTCTTTAAGTCCTTCCGATGCATCTCTCCATTCATGAATGTCAGTCACGCCTCTCATGCTTCCAGCCAATGTGATGAGTGCAAGTGGCAAGCCATCACATCTATTTACAATTATCTTGCAAATCTCTTGTACATCCACAGATGGTTCATCACGTTCAAGTGTCTTCAAGAACAGGTTCTAAACATGACACTTTTAGTCCTTCCAATGCATCTTTCCATTCATGAATGTCAATCACGCTTCTCATGCTTCCAGCTAATGTGATGAGTGCAAGTGGCAAACCACCACATCTATTTACCATTTTCTCGCAAATCTCTTCTACTTCTACAGATAGTTGTTCACCATGATCAAGTGTCTGCAAGAATAGATCCAAAGCTTCTTGATCGGAAAGTGTGTTCACTTTTATAATCTTCTTGCAGCTCATACGATGACAAACTTCTTCTGATCGACTTGTTACGACCAACTTGCATCCATTCCTTTTTAAAGGAATGCCTATCTTCTCTGCATCAATTCGTTCCCAAACATCATCCAGTATAAGTACGAATCTCCCCCTTTTCTTGAATTCCTGGAACAGTTGAGCTGCCCTTTTCGTCTTATCACTGCCACATGAAAAATGTAGATTCAATGCTTTGGCAATGTCACTTTGCAATTTGTCAATGCTGAACTCTTGAGAGACGGTGACCCAATAAACATGACCCGAGAATGTAGATTCTTTTAGCTGATCATGGACACGCTTTGCCAGAGTCGTTTTGCCTACTCCCCCCATTCCATAAATGCCAATGCTTATGCTTATGACGTTGACATCCATTAATGACTTACAAATGTCAAGTAAATTTCGTTCAAATGCTTGGTCAGTTGGTTCGGGTGTTAACAATAACTGGTCAATACTCTCATCAACCGCAAGAGAAAGCCCGCCTGGAAAATCACTTTGTTCATCAAGTTCCGTCACTACCTTAGTCATTCTTTCAAGCTGTTCAGCCAACTCTTGTCGTTTGAAAACATGATAAATACTGCGGCTTTGTTGTACTCGTTGTTCCAAGGTTTCAAACTCTTCTCTAATGTTTTCAACATTATTCCTCCAATCTTCAACCTCTCTCTTGCGTTTTTTTCCAGAATGACATGCTGCATTTTGTAATTCATGATCAACACCATCTTTTCGACTTTTCAGTAATTCTATTTTTCTTTGAAGATTATGTGTAATTTCCTCCAAGTCTGGGAATATTAATGTAACATATTCTCGCAGCGTATCCATGTAGCTTCCTGCAAATATCATTCAATATTGTAAAATACAGTCAAAATACCAATGTAACACTTCAGATATTACTAAACCGTGGGACACTAAATTTTGCAGAAAGGAATCCTTCATTTTGTATAAACTTAATCATGAAAAATTTCAAAACATTAATTTACTTCAAAATATTTGAACTTTTTCAGAAGCTTAAATTAAGAGATTATTCACTATTTATATATTATTTAAATCTAAAAACTACTCTATTATTTGAGTTATTTTTATTGACAACGAACTGGTAAAGGTAGGAGGTCGAAAAGCACTTAGAAATGCAATAATTGAACCAATGGACTAACATCAATTATTGTAATTATTGTTCTTTTTTCTTCTTTTTTTTTAAAAGAAATTGTTCCTTTTTCAATTGACTACGCAGTAGAAATTTTCTTTTCATGCTCCTGATTGATTTTGTTAATTTTATTATTATTATTATTTTGGTAGACTTCTATAAAAGTTGATAAAATACATGATTGAAAAGTTTTGAATCACATAAAATGTATTGTTAAAATTGATTATTGATTTTGACTTCGGTTTTTATCATCTTCTTAAGCTAAACCAAATAGAGCTATACATTATTATTCTAAGAGCTTTGTTACATGTACACTCAGGTTTACATTCTGGGTGACATAATGTTTAAGTGACATTCTATCATTGGCTGATAAAAAAAAAAAACAATTTATACATAAATGTCACTTATGCATTATGACACCTGAGTATACATGTAGCAAAGCTATTAGAATTAAGATTTTACATAAAATAATGTCACGGTCATTAAACTAACACCTAAACAAACAAATTTATTAATTCAGTGAAAGCTAAATTACTGGCTGATTTATCATATTTTTTTTTCTTCAACTTGAGAAGAGGAAAAGAAGATACGCCCTTCATTTTTTACACTACTTGAGAGCTGTGATTCTCTTTCACAAAAACAACCAAAGATCGATAAATATAAATACATAAAAGATAAAAGAGGGAAAAAGAAAAATTAAAGAAGTGACAATAATAAAATTTGCGGGGTTCAAAAGTGGGAATATGAAAATAGAATAAATAAATATTTAAAAAGAAAAATGACAAACAATAGGATTGTGAAATGTTGCGATACCTAAGCTTCTACGAGCGTGGGTATTGTTAGGCTTAACATTTTAGGGACAATCTATTTGAGAGACATATTAAGAACACCTCGCTGCATGCAAATAGTTCTAATTACACAATTAATTGTCACTAATGCTCATAAAAAACTAAAACTCGCTGGATAATCGTCTACATTAGTGCTATGCAGGACATGTGGTATTTGGCATCGATATATGTAGCAACTACATAGATGAGTAATGTCATTTATCAATAATAGTGTTATAATACTAATCTAAGTGACACTAAATGAAATGTATAATTGTATGTGTTAAGTTCAAATTATTATTGGCAATTTCGAAATGCTTAGTCAAAATCATGTCTTAATTGAATTGTATTAAAAGTTTATCAAATTGCAATCAAAGTTAAAATATGAGTTATTGAGTCCTAATTATAGCAAAAGAGTTGAAATTAGTAGTAGATGTCTTGAAATAGTCCAAAATGTCCAAAAAAAAATCACATATGATCAAGGGAATGCAATTAAAAGTCTAAAGAGTGTCAAATAGTCGTACAAGTTATGCTCCAAATTCTCAATCACAACTTGCAACACATTTTTCACATAACAAATATTGGAATTTGGACAAGGTTGTTCTAGAAGAATTGTATCCCTTTGAGTTAGTTTTCCAACGCATTTTGAATCACTTTAATCGAACATTGGGAGAGAGAATTATGATAAAAATACTGACGACTACTCAACTGCTGCTCGCGGTCTCTAGCTTGACGCTCGAGCGGCCGTTCAACGTTCAGAAATTTGTTTTGTTTAAAACACTTGGTTTTTGAATTTCTTTTCATCCCAAACATTTTTTCCTACACACACACACACACACACACACACACACATCCTACTCTATAAACATTCAAAAATGTGTTACATCATATTTATTCCATAGAGATAATTCCTTTGAAGATCCAAAACATTCATTGATTCCAAAATTCAACCATCACATATTACTTGATCAATGAATTCATCCCGTTGATCAAGTCATATTGTTTCATAGAAAATCACATATCAAAATAAACAAGAACTTTTGATCAAACACCAAACCACCTAATCCACCGGAGATAATCGATACTAGGGATCGAGAGTTGTTGCAGAATCACAAATTCAGGAAGACTAAGGTGAAGTTTTGGAGTCGGGATCTTACGTCAGGAGCATGCAGTTAGGGGTGGGGCAAAAAAATCAAAAAACCGACCAAACCGATCAAACCGAACCGACTCAGGTCGGTTTCACATAGATAATTGGTTTGGTTTGGTTTTATTTTAAACAAAACAACGACGGTTCGGTTTGGTCATGGTTTAATGCCTCAAACCATTGGTTAACTGACCCAACCCACTTACACATGTTTCCATTTTTTTTTTGAAAAAGAAAAGTCAAAATCAAAAGCTTAATGATGTTCTCCACAATGTGGAGGTGTCCAAACTGTCTATTTGAGTAGTCTCGTTGAATACTATATAAACATTTTGTTTTATGATGACACTTTCAATGAAACTTTGATATTATTTTATATTCTTTATAAACATTGTTTTTTGTCTCGGTTGGTACGCTTTTTTTTTTAGTTAATTTTTTTTATATATAGCAAGTTTTACATGTAATAAGTTCACCTTCTGAAAATGCATGTTGAGATAATGATTATTGATTTATGATTATGTATTAGTTACAATATTGAATCTTTTTAATCATATATTACATTCTGATTAGTTAATTACAGTTTAGATATTCTGAAAATGAAAGTTGAGATAATTATTTTCATTTTTTGAAAATTGAAATTTCAAAAACATTTTTAGTTGCTATAAGTTATAACTCAAAAAAAAAAGTTGTATAAATAAAAAAAAAATTATATATACTATAAGTGACTCTAAAACTCGAGAGTTTTTTTTTTTAAAAAAAAATTCAATTTGGACAAAAATTCAAACCGATTAACCGAACCGAACCAAACCAAACCGAATCGATTTGGTTCGGTTTAAGAGTTAGAGTGGGTTGGTTTGGGTTGAAATTTTTCCAAACCGACTAATTTGATTCTGGTTTCGGGTTAGGGTCGAAACCAATCCAAACCGAACCGCACCCAGCCCTACATGCAGTCCCGGAGGGCTAAGATATAAACCAGGAGTTGGAATTTGTCTTGAAGGAGCACACCTCTAGTAGGACAAGAAAGATTGTATGAATTGAGGTCAGAAATTCTAAGGGGTAGACGGGTCTGGGCCGTACTGTAAGTTTGCTTCGATTTATAGTGGATTATTTACCGACAAAGTGCCACAAGTTTTTACCCAGTTTGGATTTATCTTAGATCATCTTTGGTGTTCTTTACTGCTTTAATTATTGTGGCATTCAAATTTAGAATAAATTGGCTTATTTGATCTAATAATCTAGAAATAATTAAAAAGTGATTTGTTACTTTTAATTGTATAATTCTGCACGTTATGTCTAAATATTCGGTAATTAGAAACTTTCTAGTTAGCGATCTTTGACCCAAAATTTTGTCTAGATGAGTCGATCACATTCTGATGTAAGATTTGAGGATAGTAGGAAAATCTAGGAGTGTCAACGAGCCGAGTCGAGCAAAAGCTCAGGCCAAAAAATTTAGGCTCGACCCGAGCTTTCGGCTCTGGCCTTAGCGAGCTTTTTTTTTTTTTAAACTCGTGACAAATCTAAATTTTTTTTAAAGAAATTAAAATTTGTGCAATTTATACATATTATAAATATTAGCATATAAAAAAATTACAGCTAAAAAAAAAAAAGAAGTGCCAGCATTTTTTTTTCTTTTTAAGTTTTGTAATTTTTATTTTTTAGGTTCACCGACCGAAAATGGCTCGGCCTGCTTGAGCCGACGCTCCAAAATCGAGCCTCGACTCGGTCTTACCGAGCACCAAACACTTTGTTCAGTTTTCAATTTTACAAAAAATTCAAAATTAATTTGATCTAATTTGTTTGAAAATATATATATCTTGTAAAAAAATTTTAAATTTATAAATTATAATATAAAATTTAAAACATATTTTAGAAGATTTGAGTATTTATAGTGAAAATGTTAAAAATATTAAAAATGTAAAAAATAAGCGTTTAAAAAAATTATTATTTAAAAACGACAATTCGAAAATTTGAAAAATAAAAATTCTAAAAAATTATGGTTTTGAAATTCTAGAAAAATTAAATTTAAAAATAACGTTTAAAATTCTAAAATAATAAAAAAATTGAAGAGAGATTCAAAAATTCTAAAAATAAAATCTAAACTAAAAATTTAATAATTCTGAAGAAATAAAAATCCAAAAAAATTTTGAAAAATGAAAATTATATAAATTAAAAAAAAAAAAAGAAGAAGAAGAACAGTTCAAACCCTTATTAGTTATTTAAATAGAAATTCTAAAAGATATTTAAAGGAGCACATATAAAAAAATTTAGTTCACGTCATTAATTTCATTTTTTTATTTTATATATTCTGCCAACTTAATTTATTAATTACTTTTATTTTATTTTTGTAGCGAAAAATAAATATTGAAAGATTTATCAATTTTAAAATGTACGTGTTTTCAACAATTTAAAACGGAACATCAAAATAGAAAACTACAAATGAACTCAAAAATTAAAAATTGAAACGCAAACCAAAACGGTCCTTTATTTTTGAGTTAAGATTGACCTTTGAAAACCTAACAACATTGCGATGGATTCAACAAGTTCCGATTGAAGATTCGCCGATTTTAGGACATGTTTTAATTAGTGGATTTTGAAGGTTGACGTGCCCGTATTCGGCATGATTTTATTGGTTCCATTGGCCGAGCATGATCGATTTTGATAACAATGAAAAATGATATTAAGTGTTGTGAGAACTCGATCAAGGATTTGA